AGTCCTGTGGGGATACAGTGCATTATTGTGCTGTTAATCCACGTCAGGATTAGGTTAAAGCCTCCCTCACTCTGGGTCACATTCAGATTCACCATGGCAACGAGGAGAGTCTTGAAGGGGTAAATCATGAATGGGCCGCGAAGGTCAGCCTTTCCTCTTTAACCGCATTTAAAGGCGCTGCTCGTTTGTTTCTGATTTGTATTCTGCGCGTGGATCCCCGCGCCGCGCGGTTGGTTTTCACACGTCGTCCGTGAGCGCGTCACGAGACACAGCGGCCCGAGGTTATATTTAGGCTCTGAGGAAAATAACGGTGCAGGGTGATTCCTCCGGGAGCTTGACTGGCTTTGTCAAGGACCTGGACACTGGAGCGCAGAAGGAGGAGGAGGGGGGATGGCTCCTGCTCCTGCTGCTGCAACAAATACCAAAATAGGACCGAGCCGCCTGCGACAGTCCTGAGCTAAATTGAGGTTCATGTGTCTTTGAGAGGAGCGCTATGAGGAGCAATCAATGGAATAAATAAGGTAGGCCCTCTTTTAGGGTATTTTAGATACAAACCCGTTGCATTCAATCTCTTTCTATAATTTATAGTTGTTTTCTTATATATTTTTTTCTAGATATAATGTCGCATAAAAGCGAGATCTACACATATGACTTCTGTGACGGGGAGCATCCTGCGGAGCTCCTGGAGGCTCTCAGGCACTTCTACATCCGCGGCCTGTTTACCGACGTGACCCTGCAGTGTGGAGAGTCCGCACAGGTGTTCCACTGCCACCGCGCGCTGCTGGCAGCCCGAAGCTCTTATTTCAAAGTCATGTTTACGGCTGACATGAGGGAGAGGTCGGACCGCGTCATCAAACTGAGCGGGGTGGACCGCGCTGTCCTCAGCGCCCTGCTGGATTACGTTTACACCGGCAGGGTGAGCGTCACTGAGAGCAACGTGCAGAGCCTGCTGGAGGCTGCGGACCTCCTGCAGTTCAGCAGCGTCAAGCAGGCGTGTGAGAAGTTCCTCATCCGCCTCCTTGATGTAGACAACTGCCTGGGCATGCATACCTTTGCTGAGCTTCATCAGTGCGCAGGTCTGGAGAGGGAGGCGCGCAGGACCATGTTGAGCAGGTTCATGGAGCTCATGGAGCAGGAGGAGTTCCTGGAGTTAGGCCATGAGAAGGTCAGGTCTGTTCTGGCTGCTCAGAGCCTCACTGCACAGGCAGATGAAACACTGATAGACGGTGTGGTCAGGTGGGTATCCCATGACTTGGATAACCGTGCTCATTTCGTGTCAGATCTGCTGCACTCCATCCACCTAGGTCTGGATGACATTTACTTCAACGCCTCTTTGGAAGTGCACAGGCAATACCTGATGAAAAATGACGGAAGGTTAAAATCTATGATTGTCCAGGCGTTGAGGTCAAATGGTAAGGAGATTCCAGCCAAAAGAAAAATCTCCCCGAGTATGTACATCATTGGAGGATACTACTGGCACCCTCTGTGTGAGGTGCACATCTGGGATCCTGTAAGTGATACCTGGGTGCAGGGGAAAGACATGCCTGACCCTGGAAGGGAGAGCTACAGCGTCAGCCTGCTGGGTGCAAACATCTATGTGACCGGTGGCTACAGGAGCAACACTGTTGAGGCCTTGGACACAGTTTCAATTTATAATTGTGACTATGATGAATGGACAGAGGGTTGTCCCATGATTACTGCCAGGTATTACCACTGCTCAGTGGCTCTACATGGCTGTGTTTACGCCATAGGAGGTTACAGAGGAGGTGCTCCAGAGCAAGAGGCTGAATATTACGATCCACTGAAGAAGAGATGGTTTCCAGTGGCCAAAATGATCCAAGGTACAACATTTTCATTACATCATATACTAGGAAAAAAAAACAAAAACTTTTTTGTTCAATTTGAATTACTAACTCATTACAGTCTTTGCTGCTGGTAAAAAAAAAGGAAAAAAGAAAGACATGTTCTCAATGGGTTGCTCTGTCAGCTAAAGGCATGTTTTAGAGTCGCCATACTCCAGTTAACGATTAATCGATTACTAAATTAGTTGATGATTATTTAAGTAATTGATTAATCAAGATTAATCCAATTCATTGTTTCAGCCCTGAAACAGAGAATAATAGTTAACAAAAAGTGCCTAGAGGAAAACTGATGTATGGCTTTGAGAACAACTGAGCAATTTATTAGTAACCAGTCATATAAACCAGTCATATAAACTTTGAACATACATAAAAATGCCCTAGAATAAAATAAAGGACAATAGAAATGGAGAAACCTGTGTATAATAGGTTTTGCACCAGGGTGCAACTCTTTATTTGGACTTATCCAAACTGCAACCTAAACTTTAAATGCTCTGCTTGCCCAGTCTTCTAGTGCAGCTAAACATTCATCTTCTTATATATTTTTAGATCATAAAAAACCTTCGAAAATTGTTTTATAACATAAAAATACTATGCTTTAAACATCTTCACAATTTTATTTCTTGCTTTTCTGGTATGTCCCTTGTTCATAATGATGATAATAGGTTTCAGAGTGAATTAGACTTAATGCAATCCAAACTAACCTTTTATGGTTTGAATTTATCTTCCACTCCATAAATATAGAATTCTCTCTGTTGGTCTGCTATATAAAACCCAAACTCAAGTTGTTATAGTAATGAAGTCAAATATGAAAAAGATCAGTGGCTGTATATATACTTCTTTAACACAGCCTAAAAGGAAATTTAACTTACTGGACTTTTAACACTATCAGAAATCTTTAGAGATAAAGAAAAAACACTGATCCAGCCAGAAAAATCAATCATCACAGGCTTAGGTCATCCACTATTTCATCAGACAAGCATTCTTATGCTTACTTTACTTGATCCTTATAATCCCAGTTTTCTTTTCAAGGTGTTGGAAATGCCACTGCATGCGTAATGGGTGAAAATATCTACGTTACTGGCGGCCATTATGGATACAGAGGAAGCTGCACCTATGAGAAAGTTCAGGTGTACAGGCCAGATGTCAATGAGTGGACCATCATAACAATAAGTCCACATCCAGGTAAAAAAATAAAAAATAAGAGGGGGATTGGTGTAGAAAATGTTTTGGTACAAAGGTAATTTTATATGTTTTAATCTTCTGTTTTTAGAGTACGGCCTGTGTTCTGTTTCACTCAACAACAAGCTGTATTTGGTCGGCGGACAGACAACCATCGCAGACTGCTACGACACCGAGAGTGAGGAATGGCGGCCCATATCGGTGATGAAGGAGAGGAGGATGGAGTGTGGGGCTGTGGTGATAAATGGGTGTGTTTATGTAACAGGGGGGTACTCCTACTCAAAGGGGACTTATTTACAAAGCATTGAGAAATATGACCCTGAGATGGACTCATGGGAGATAGTGGGGACTCTTCCTAGTCCCACCAGGTCACATGGATGTGTTTGTGTCCATAGTGTCCACTGACCTTTACCACATTTTCACTGTTATTTTTCACAGAATGGGTTGAACTGTTAAGGCACAGTGTGCAACGCTTTGTGAATGATGAAAGTATCTGTCTTGCTGCTCTGGGTTAATTTGCCAAAGTGATGAACAAAAAACTCAGGCAAACATTTGAGTATATATAAGATCTCAACTCTTTAACTGTTTTAATGAGTTTTTAAGGTTTTTTACAAATCTTGGCAAATCTTTTTGTAATACCTGAGCTGCACTTAGATTGTAACTCAAGTAAATAAATGACTTTACTCTCTTGAGCTTGTCATCTATATTTGAATGATAAAAATTACATTTCTCCTCAACACCTAAATGCACACCTGGGCCCCCTTATTTTTTTTTCCTTTTTCTGAATGTTTAAAGAAAGTTTCTATCCTTAAACTATTTATATCATTCCTAAAACAGGAAATCACAGAGAAAAGCAACGTAAAAGAAATATTGATTTGGAATTTAAGATTTAAATTTTTTAACTGTTTATTTAATAATAATATATTATTTAATTACTATTTTTTGCCATGTTTTGCTTTTTTATTTTGATTGATCAGCTCAAATAGCCAAAAAGAAGATGAAGGTGCCAAAGGAAGAAAAAGGTGTTAGGGGTATATACAGTACAGTCCATATATATATATTTGACAGATATAGCTGAAGTCTTTTTTTTTTTTTAAAGCAAGATTATTATACAGGGTTAATAAACAGGGTATTTACATGGGTATTTGTCTATATAACTCTCACTGGGTATCAAATATAAAGAAACGGGTTATTGCACAGGGTATTAAATAGTAATTGCACATTATACATTGCACATGTTATGTTATTTTGTTCTTGCATTGTAGAGTCTGGTGGCAACAGGGATGAATTACCTGCGGTAGCGCTCCTTTTTACCAACAGGGTGTAAAAGTCTTTGACTAAAGGAGCTGCTCAGCTCCTCTACAGTCTGGTGCAGAGGGTGGAAGTTGCTGTCTATGATGGAAGTAAAATTTGACAGCACCCTCCTCCAAGCCACGTTCTTCACTGTGTCCAGAGTACAGCCTAGGACAGAGGCGGCCTTTCTCACCAGTTTGTTCAGTCTCTTTCTGTCCCGATATGCGCTACCAGGGGCCCAGCAGACAACAGCGTAAAGGAGGACTGATGCCACCACAGAGTCATTTCTTCACCTAATTCATAATTAAATTAGCAAAGTGAGATTGCCAGCGGGTTTAATTGCTGATTTTAGTAACTACTTTAATTTGTATCTTTCTATTTGGGTCAAAATTGTGATTCTTCCAAGTATTTAAGCTCCTGTCAAAAAAATTTACACTTTATCGATTTTATGTCCAAGATTATGACACATGAATGGATCACTAACATTTTGAAAAGTAGAACATTTCCACCTTAAATTGATGCAGGCTTTAAATAAAGGATAACAGGGTAAGGGTAACAAGTTTTAGGACTAAATGGTGGAAAATAAATAGATGATAGCAAACAAATCTTCAGTCATATGATTTAGGACCCAACATAAATGCTCAGTTTGTAAAAAATAAAAAAAGACTGAAAATTGATAACTATTCTAGTATTGATAAGTGGCTGAATTCAAAATCTAAATTTCTTATTGGGTTTATAAGCTGGTGTATCTTGTTTGCTCCTTTTAGATCATCTTACCTCTAAGTTTGTGCTCTCTTAAACAGGCAACATGCTGAAATAAATGTCCTAGGTTTAAATAAAAAAAAGCTTTGTCACATATTGCGTAGTAATTGTATTCTGATTATGCTAACTTGATGTGTTATGTTTAATTCTAACTGCTTTAGTTGCCATGATTGTGGGCCAAATCATGTTTGGTCATGACTTTAAATAGCATTTCACAGAAAGTTAGAAATCTATCTTCTTCTCATCAGCAATTTTTGTAACTGGTGTTATTAAAATGTATAGTATATATTTTTTTCCAAATAGATCATTGAAGAGCAGATAATCTTTTAAATCATACCTGTCACTGTGTTTCTGGCTGGCTGAGGAATACAGGAAGCAGTT